TGTCATTTTTGTTTTGTTGATCTGTGATTTCAACATGTACTGTGCATGTTTTCTGAGAAAAATGCTTCAGTTTCACATAGGCTTTTGATCATTTAATAGGACATGATTTACTTGTTCATTCTTCTACAATTTTGGATTTATGTTATATTGAGGTGACCTGTATATTAATTAGAAAGCCTATGAACTATGTACTTGTCAGTTTAGGTATTGTCTTAATGTGTGGTATCTCTTGAAAGAGGGGGTATGGTTTATGTGATTGAATTTGAACACAGAGAAATGACTTGTAAAGACATGCACTGTGGTGGTGTTTTTAATCCTATAGATCCATCATATTGTATATTTGGGTTCTTTATGCTGACATTCCCTGGAGGTTTTGGACATTTTCACAATTGAAGATGTAGTGGCAGTGTGCTTATGGTAAGAAGCTCTGTTTTAGCAGGTAAGATAAATGCATTGTCACCATATCTTGAATTGCGAAAATGTAAAGAAAGAACAAAACATGAAGTTTAACCATTGCATGTATACAGGTAGTTCTCTTTTCTACTTCCAACAGGTTCTTTGTTTTGTCTCCTATGAAAGAAAGACTGTTTGTGACCTACAAGAAGGATTAGGGGCAGATATATTATAGATCTTGTTGAATGAAGGAAAAGAGCTATGATGCATAGATCTTTTATTGTCATTGAATGGTGCAGGTTGACTTTGTCCACAATACTAATGAAAAGGTAGGAAGTACCAGATTTATGCATTTTTTTTTGACACTATTGCTAATTGATTTAACTGTGCATCATCAGTAGTACCATATAATAACAAATGTTTGTCCTAATTCATTTATATAGCCTTCTGTCCAGTGGCTATTTGACTCCCTTAATATCAATCTGATACTATGTGCTTCTTTTTAATAAGAATATATTTAGAACCACTTATCTAAGGGTGAGTGTGCTGTCACTAATCTACCAGGATGATGTCTGATTACATGTGGTGATTCTAGGAACTTTGAGAAGCAGTGGGAAGATACTGGAAATACGTCTTATCCAAAATTGTATGTGTAGGCTACTGCAGGAGATGATTCACATTTTGTACATCAATATCATCCTTTGTGTAAGTATATTTTCTTTCTCATTTAATACAGTGTTTGTTATTTTCCTTAATTTGTGCACTAGCACACACAGGCCTGGAGGACTTTTAAGCCCGGTTGACCATAGTTAAGGGTCTAAAAGGTTCTTGTCTGTGATCAGCCGGGCTTAAAAGTCCTCCGGGCTTGTGTGCGTATGTGTACAAGAAAAAAGGAGCTGAATAAATAACAAGTGCTTTCTGCTATTATTTGTCTATAATAAGATACTGCTGTTTGTTAACCTCGTATGATGTAATGGAATTTATTGTATAGAAGACAAGATTGTTCTTGATATCTGTGTGAAAATAAAGGTTTATCTCAATTTAGAAACATTAACATGTTAATTCATCATGTTTTGTTAAGGAGTGAGTCTCTGTAGTTAATTAGCACCTATTTATTAGAAAGAAATATACATTTAAATAATTGATCAGGATAATCTTTAATATGTTTCACATTCTTGTGTACAGATATATCTGATATATATAAGCAATTTCTTTCTATTTACATCAGACAATAATAACAGAACTGACAAAAAGATGTCTCCATCATCTAGTTAAAGTAGGTATCATAGCTTGAGCCACATGATTTAATGGTAGTGTACAAACCAAATGTACTTGCCAGGACTGTGTTAATAAAGTATATTAAAATACTTCTAACAAGTTCTCACACAGTTTATTTATCTGACTGCCACACTATCTATTGTTATTACCTTTTTGTGATATTGCAAAAAAATGTACTCTTACACTTCATTACATGAGCTTGTAATCTTAAATTGGGTCTTCCATCATACCTACTTATTTGTTACCAGTCTTTGTATTTAAATGTGTAACTACCCTTTAGTTACTGGCTCAGCTTATGTTACACTTGATGCAATAGAAAAGAACATAATATGACGTTAACTGATCAGTATTTGAAAAGAAAGAGATTACCTTTTTCCATAAAAGAAAATAATATATACAACTAGCCAAAGTCAAATCTGATGTATCTCTGTGGGGGCCAGTGAATAAATCCACTTTGTTAGTATTACATATCTGTGTACAGGCAAATTCAATCTATAAAAATCAAAAATATTTATATGGTTAGAACTAAGTAGCACTTTAGTACAGTCATGGGTAAACAAGTACCCTAGGTACATAATCACCTAAACTAAAAATATGTTATTATTCAACACTAGATGTTTGGCCTTTAATGCTTTTTAGTACCAATTAAGCCAATTGATATAATGATTTTGTTTCTGTGGGATATATATATATATCAATTAATCATAATTCTTTAAGGCTCCTTCTTGATTTGGTTTTACACTTAATTCTGAAAGATTTATGACAAGATGAAAGTAGTTAAAATTTATAGGAATTATCTGAGAAACAGGGAAGTCTATGTCTAATGCAGGCAGTGATTTACTTACTTTATAAATTGAACTAATCACCTATGACTGTAACAACAATACCATAGAAATGGAAAAGATAAAGTCACTTATTATTTTTGGTTATGTGCATGGAACATTTATTATGGTTATGCAGACATCACACAGAAAGTTTATAGGGTTGCAAATATACAATTTACCATAATGATATATGGTGTGACTGAAATAGATAAGAAAGTCACATACTACCACAACAAAGAATTCACAAGACCAAATAGAAATATGATTGAAAATAAATGTTCTATATAGAATAATTAAATTGAGATTAAAAAAAATTATAATTTACAGCTTAAGAATATTATAAAGAGGGTCTCTATTTATAATAGCTAAGATATATATAAAATTGTTTGTTGAGTAAGATTGCAGAATAAAAGAATTACAAGGCATAGAAAGATGATCTAAACCAATATTATGGAAGGAGATTATACTGTAAATAAATTAAGAAATGTTGCAGACAACGTTTTTTGAGTATTACTTTCTGTGCACTGTTTTTTTTTTAACTAATTAAGAGGATGAATTGGTAGCAAATTTTGACAACTTTATAAGTTCAACTGTAGTAATACATTACGTGTTTGTTTGGAGTTCCTAAATGGCCCGATCTCTGTATGGTTTGTTTCTTTCTTAAAACACAAAGATAATCTCACATCTGCTGCAGATTAGGATAGATTTAAAAGCACCATTATGTTTTTCGTTAGTGGGATTGACTGTCATATTATAATGCCTCAAGAGTGGCTAGCTGAAATTGTAAACATGTCTGGGGGTGGGATTTAATCTTGCTACCTAGAAATTGCAAGTCAAGTGCCTTAACCACCCAGCTGTTCCATGCAACTAATTGAAAACAGCTAATGGCAAGATGATCCTCTCAGTCCTTGATATTTTGTTTGCAGAAATTTTAGGAATCACATTCAAGAGAAAAAGATATATATACATATAACTGAACAGTAAGGAATGAATGTACACTGTCTCAAATGGATAACCTAATTTTATCTTAAGTGGCCAGGAATAATCTTTAAGATTAGTTTCGGAGTTCTAATCTTTTTTGCCAGCATTTTAAGTTTTAGAAATTAATATGTAGAGAATGGTTGTTATGTCTTTTGGAGGAGATAGGAGTACTTCAATCCTGATCCAGAACTCAAAGTAGCATAACTGTTCACTGAGTTTTGGGGGTTAATTTTGAATACTGATTTTGACAACAAAAATTGTCATCCACTATTATGTTTTAATCCCAGAAACTAGGAAACATGTTTAGAGCGTGTTTAGGTACATTTCTTATCCTTTATGTTAACATTCTTAAGTCTTCTATTATTTAAAGATTGAATTACATATTTCTCACTACTTTAAAGTCCTTCTAATAGATAGGATAACAACAGAAGAAATTTATTTGGTAATTTCTTATACGATGTTAAACCAAACAAAATTGCTAGAAAAAGTTATCCAGGACAAAGCTGGCAGAGGGAGGAAGGTAATTAATCTTTCTTTATATACTGATGCTCTAAAGTTAGGATATTGTCTCTTTCTCCTAATGTTATTAATTTGAATTGTAAACTAGATGCTGGGAACAAAAAAAAATACATTAGAGATTCAGCATAATGTTATATATATATTCTTAGACCCATTAGTTTTGTTTAATTTATAATAATCAAAATATTAATTGGTGCTAATTATTTTCAAAAGAAAAAAGTATGTGTCCATTGATTCTTTCCTTTGGAGGGTTCGATTATTTATTTTTACTAAACTAATCCAAGAGTTGGTGTTAACTAGTTGTCTTTCATGTAATCTGTCAATTCAAAATTAGGGACAGCTAACGGAGATATCCATTGTGTAACTTTAATATTTCCAAACAATTAATTGCTGGTTTTACTTTGCTTTTTGTATTTTATTACGGTATACGTAGCAGTATCAAAATTAATGTATATTGGTAGTATACGAAGTAATCAATTGTCATTTTCCTTTACAGTAATAAACACAACAAATAGTATGATGGAGTAACGGCGATAAAGTTTACTACAAAAAACTGACTAAACCCTCAGCAATAATAATCATATCGTGTAAGAAGTGGGAATATGAATTTTTTATCTTAATTTCCATTTCAAACGATATTTAGAAATTATAGAAAAACTTTAATATAAGTTTAACATGACAGCAAATGTACAACGTTTCGACAAGGTTTTGTCATCATCAGGTACCATTTAAGCCGTCTCCAGCCATTATTAGTCTCAAAGTGGGTTCCTCGTCATCGAATCTTAACACAGATGTTCGTGACTACTAAGTTATGAATACTCTCTGACGTAAGTACACAAAAATAATATTTACTCTGTTAATACAGTTCTGTAAACAAAATTTAAATAATCGTTTTCTTGTGTTAAGATGTTACGTAAAAAGCTAATGGAGAGAAGGCACGAGAAAAATAGTATTAAATAAACGTGATCAGATTTTATAAATTTACTTTTATGGGGTGAAGGGTCAGAAACGAAAGTCTTAAATAGTGTTGTATACCGCCATGACTATTTATAATATGCAAATATATATATATATGCGTGTATAAACATACATAGTAAACAATTAGGCCTACATTAAATATACTTAAGCGTAATATTATATCATTGTATTATAACACTGAATAAAAAATTACTGTACAAAATGATATTTGTGAAATTGGCTTCTTATGTTTTTAAATGCCTCAGTAATGTGATTTGCTGTAATTGCAAATAAAAAAAATATCAAAAGATTCAATACATGTTATCGTACTTACCATATACAGTCACTGCCTTGCGCAGTAGAGCCGAAAAGAGAAATTTTAATTGAATCATTTGAATGTCTGTCGTAATAGTATATTGAAGGCTGTAAAAAATAATAAAAAAAATAAAATCTACTTTAATTTAATTTAATTACAACAGTATATTTTGTTAATATCATTACTGTTTGATAACACCTACAATGCAATCTCAAAATTTCCAGTAGAAGCTTTAAAAATAAGCTGTAACATATAATAAATGCTATCATTTTTTAAATTTATTTGGTAGTTTCTTTTATTCAAAAACGTGAATTTTAGTGAAGTATAGACGCCTACCCTATTCTTTACTTCACTTTTCCAAGCAGTACGGATGAGTCGTGAATTCGACGAAACTGGTCTGTTACAGCGAGAGTGGAAATTACAGAATACGTAACATTGTATGTACTGTTTGCGCATTTAATTTAGACTCTATTATAGAAGATTACTTAATATTTGCGCTAAACTGTATCCAAATATATTTATACGTTATAATATATAGTAGATTTTAACACAAACCAAACAATGGCTGTATTCATTTAAGAAGGGTTCGAGTGTCCAAAATCGTTATCATATAACGTACTCCCACGTACGGTCCTGCTCTATCTGACGACTGTACATCCTAACAATAGTCCTAAAGCATAGTTTCCTTTTCGAAAAGCACAGTTGCACAGCTATCATGTCGATAGAACACAACTCTTCCTTGCAGATTTTCCATAATTCATCTGGTCTACAAAAACAGTTTTCCAGCATCCGTTTCAACAGTTCACACAGAAATCTATAGGCACTGCATCCAACGACTTTATCGGTATGTCTTGATAATGAAATAGTAGGAACACATAATTGAATAGAATTATTTAAACATTTGTTTAACAACAAGTAAAAGCTTGAAATGGTCTATTCTTTCATTGGTGGTGTGTCTATGTGCCAGACTAGTTTCGGATAATTCCACTCCTCATCAGTGACCCTGGACACTACCACCAATAAAATATCAGACCAGACCAAGCCTTTATAGTAGTGTTGTATCGAATATCTAAATGGTGTATTTAAGTGTTTTACACTCACAAAAAAGAAACCTATCATTCTGCAGGTATTTGAAGAACTCGTAGTATTCCG